GAATGTCTATAATAGTGTGAATGTCTATAATAGTGTGAATGCCTATAGGCATTTACACAATAAAAGCTGTTGATTGAAAGAGGCCTGTCCTGTGGTTTATTTTGATCTTTTTCCATCCTTGCTGCCCATCGCTGGAATTATATTTTTTCTGATTTATTCCACCGCTTTGATGGAGTCGACAAACAACCTTGTCCGTACCTCCATGTGTGATGCGAAGCCGTGCCGGAAAGACAAGATCGATCTGTTCCACACGAGTCATTTTGCCTCTGTGAACGCCGCTCGTGCCCGTGCCACTCTGGGGGTGTAGTCAGCCACGATGAATATGGTGGATTCTTTGAAGTGGATCGGGCCACTGCTGCGTGCCCGCTGTAGTATTTCCACACGTTCTTGATGGTAGTGGGTATGTTTACATGGACACAAGTAACCGGATCAAATGGCCGGTCGGAATAAAAGTGTGTCATGTAAACACTCCGTTCGGGTTATTTTTTGTGTATTTGGCGCGATCCGTTATAATTTCTGATCAGAACGAAACGGGTGGTTTACGCCGATCCGAAACCTGATCGGTGCGCATGTAAACGCTTGATCTGTTCATTTTTATCTGATGGTGAAAAACTGACCTGACTGCGCATGTGCGACTTTGCCATTTCCGCCTGGCTAACGCTAATAATATTAGCATGTCAGGGAAGTAAAACTGGTCGGTGAGCGACAACATTTCTATTAGAAACTTTTAAAGAGCTCAAAATGATCTGTATTACCTGTAGCTCAGTCAGGGAGTGCAATAACGTCTCCACCATCATTAAAACCTGTCGCGGGTCCATTTTGGGTGCTCAGGTTTGTTTACGTTCACTCCGGAAGTAGAACTTCTTCTTCGGTGTTTTTTTTAAGGAGAGTTTACCACTCTGCGCATGTCAGTACTGCTGTTCAGAACAAAGCTGCAGGTAAACGCTCATCATGAACAGATTGTGCCCATGTAAACAATACATTTGAATTATTCAAACAGAACACATTTCAATCAGGTCAAAGAATTCTGCACATGTAAACATAGCTATTGAAGCCTGGCCACAACAAGCCTGGATCTTCCATCAGAGCTTCTTCTGCCCGATACACGTAATCAATCAGCGGCAATTTATCAAGTTTTAGGACCTCCATTAGCATTTTAGCTATCATCTTGGACAAACATTTATCCGCCGATTCAGGAAGTCCAATAACTCTAATATTATCACATCTCATATGCCCCTCCATGGATTCAAACTCTTTTTTAAGCCCATCAACTTCACTGTTTAACTCCACCACCGTCCCACGCAGCTTCTCCATCTCATCTGAGTATAAGGACAGTTCTCAGTCTCTGAGGCCCACAGTGGTGTTAGCAAGCTCAGCTTGGACCACCTGTAGTTCACTCTTGATAAAATTAAAATCATCCGACAGAGCCGCTCTCATTTCTTCCTAATCTTTGCTATGATCTTGGATTTAATTGAGACCAAAAGGTCTGACCTCAGAGCCGATTCGTCTATAACCCCAGAGCTAAGTGAAGGTGGGGCCGACGCACCTGCGGATCCACCTGTTCCTCCATCACAATGGCCCGAGGCTGCTGCAGTGATAATAGGCCGCGGAGAAGAGACCGAAGATTTGGACTTTTTTTGTTTTGAGGTCAAATTACCAGTTTGTTGATCCAGTTACGCAGCGACACCAGTCTCAGAGACAAAATCCAGCTTGAACGGATGCAATCATAAAAAGCAGCTCAGCTGAAATGTCTGCCGCCATCTTGGTCCTTTGTGTAAAAACTTCAGGATATTAGAATGCAGGTTCAGATGTGTAAAGTACAACTTTCTGAGCCTCTGAAACTTTGAACAATATTCGTTCTGTGGATTTTGTCTGAACTCCAAACTGGGGGGGGGGGGGGGGGGGTGTCCTTTTTATTGTCACTTGGATCATTTCTCTCTCGTTGTTCTGGAAAGATTTTGTGGATGGTCTGTGATGTGCTTTTATCAGTCAGAGCATACCCTTCCTGGTGAAGCCTTGTGTTTGGGTGTATAATTTACATTTTGTTTCGTAACTACAGGACAAACATCTGGAACATGACAGGAATTAAGCTGCCTCATTGCTGATGTGTGGGTGTTCTTATTAAATCTAATCCAGTAGAACAATAAGTAGCTATAAACATGATTAGCATTGTTATTATTTTTAGTTTCCTCTTTAGGCTTTACCCCTAAGTCAGGTTCTGTCAGTTTGTGTGTAAACATTTTTATCATCCAGCTGTAGTTCACTGAACCCTGAGGAAATGAAATGGATTAGGTCTCTGTGGACGTTCACTTCACAGTTCTGGATAGTCAGTAAAGAACATCCTGCAGAGAATGAAGGAGTGGAAGGATGGTTTCATTTAGACCCTGTGTCACCTGCTGTGTTTCAGGTTACCTCCAGGAGGCCTACCTGTGGACCAAGCAGGTGCTGTCCATCATGGAGAAATCCATTGTCCTTCTACAGGATGTGACGGATGGCTCGTTGTATGAGGGTGTGGCCTATGGGACCTACACCACCCGCTCCCTGTTCCAGTACATGTTCCTGGTGCAGCGACACTTCTCCATCGGACACTTCGCCCACTCCTGGCTGCTCCATCACTTCTCCTTCCTGTACAGAACCATCCTGCCTGGTAACCACCTGGACCTGTCTGGATCCTGTCCTGCACTTTCGACTGAAACTAACCTAACTTATAACAGCATGAATCAAATGTGTGTGCACAAGTGTTTCCTGGGTTCTGATAGGCTTTTAGATGAGAGCAACTCCTGGACGGGTTAAGTCCCGATCTGATGCCTGCAGGGACTGAAGGCGCCTTGGCAGATTGGGGGGGGGGGGGGGGGGATCTGGCCTGCTCTTAGACATGTTGCATCCTGCTGTGCTGTGCCTGGAATGTCTGTTCTGAGCAGCAGGAACAACATTCTCCTGGTTCTCCTGACTCTGAGGTCCTGTTCATACGTGGCACTTTACATCCACCTCAGTGGTTAGCTCTGAATAGGAGCGTTCACAGCTGGCAGTGAACCCCACACACACACACACACATACACACACACACACGCACACACACACACGCACACACGCACACACACACGTCACTCATTGAGCTGTTAGATCAGTCAAGTGTTTCTGACATAGAGCAGTGCTCCACATCATTTAGTTTGATTTTTGAAACAAATTATTTCAGTTTTATCTAACAAGGTTGAGTCAGGTCCTCTGGACTGAGTCTTTTTTTGTTGAAACTTTTCGTCTTTTATCCAAAAGTCTTCGTCAGTCTGAGGAGCTGTATTCAGCTCAGTCTCTTAGGGGCCGTTTACACGGTACACATTCTGAGTGCATCCTCTCCTTTCTCTCTGCGGTTCTGCTGATCATTTACACAACACCAGTGACCCCCCCTCTTTGAATCCAGAGGTTTCTGAACCCACCTTCCAGAGTGGAGGTTTTTCGCTGACCCCCCGCTGATAATGTAAACATCTCCCGCTGAGGCTTTGTGTTAAACCACATGTGCACACGCACGCACAGACAGACACTATATTTCTATCAACATGGCGGCGGACACACTGCTTTCAGAACCTCGACTGATGGAATATATTTTAATCTCGTAGTTAATCTACGTCAGATTCCAGGTGCTGTGACCAACATCTGTGTTGGAAGAGACACAGTCTGATCCAGTTCTAATGTCACTGTTTATAGAACGAGGCACGTGAACACGTCGCGCTGCACTATAACATCTAAATGTGCTAAATAATAAGTTTAACAATAATAAACGGTATTTATGTTAGTGTGAGAGATAATGAAGCTCTGAGCTAAATGAAGCTATCTGGACATGACGTAATTCAAATTTAAAATGATGCTAAACATGTAGCGTGAACACTAAAGTTGAAAATGAAGACATCAGGTTTAATTTTTATTTATTTATTCAACACCACAAACTGTATGTCACACAAACAATGACAATTAAACTGAACACACTATTAAAACACGTTAACTGAACTTGAATGGATTGAATAAAAGAACTGAGGGGAATTTTAAATAAATAGTTCAACATCTCTCTTCGACGTCCTCCTGCACTGCATCTGGGCCAAACCTCGTTCAGAACCGGTCCACCTGGTGGGAGGACAGCTTCTTCTTCTTTTAGGAAAAAATAAAAACTCAGTTGGTTGTTTTGTAATCTAAGTAAACACAAGCTAACATTATTAAGAACGTTGATTTACCTGCTGTAAACCAGCTACTGATTATCACGGAGTAAAGTCCGACAGCGTCGACTCGGTTCTGGTCCACTCAGCGACCGGTGTGGAGCTGTTAGACGAAGCAGTCCCGCTTGGTGTCAAATCTGTCGACTCTTATCCAGAATCCATCCAGAATCCAGCTTTAACTTGTTGTTACGTTGTTGTTGTTAGCTGAGCTGTTTAGCTCACAGGACACAGCGTGCCGAGGCAGCAGCATGCACATTAGGTGAAGGTACAAAATTCACAGCGACATCTAATGACCCGGCATGGTAACTACAGCGGATTCAGGAGGGCGGGGGGGATTCCACTGGATGCATGTAAACACTAAATCTGACCGTGTCAATGCAAATCTTTTCCTCTAATTAACATACGAAAAAACCTACGTTTCCCCCCATTGTGTCCGTGTAAGTAGGGCCTTAAATAGCACCTTCTCAGAGTGGATCAACCAGTTTGCTGCTGACAACCAAAACCAGCTGCTCACATGCTCAAGAAGGACCATCAGCCTAACAATGGATCATTAGCACCTGATGGCTGTTTACTATTCACAGAGGGCTGAGTGATACTAGCAATCACAGCATTGTAAGAGGGGGACAGTTGAACCCGGAGGCTCCACCCCTGTTTAATGATGGATGGGTTCTCTTTAGAAAGATGGCCTCCTTAACTCTCTCAAACCATCGTTCCTCTCTAAACTCTCCCTTTAAAATGTGTTTGTAAACACTGCACATATCAAATTCAATCTTAAACAACTGTTAGTTTTTTTTTTTCCCACCAAATGATATTTATTAATAAATGTCTGCATTAATAAGCAACATGTTTATAGCTGAGTTATCCAAACATTTAGCCTGTGTAGAATGTATCAAACATTTATATGATAACTAACACCCTTCTACTTTGTCTGTGCAATCATTTTGCTGAACACTAGATGGCAGCATTTACACGTGTATTATTTGCTTACGTGAGAAGGCGCCTCAGTCTATTTATGTGTGAGTGTTGTATGGCTCTTTTCACACTTTTGTTTAATTACAAATTGTCTCGCGTACCCCCTACGTCCCTCTTGTGTACCCCCAGGGGTACGAGTACCCCACTTTGGGAAGTACTGCCTTAAACCAGAGGAGATTATTATTTGGTCATGATTTTAGCCAACCTATATTTATACACTCAATAAGAAAGAAATGTATTTTTGTTTTTATATTTTTATTGTCTGGTGATATTGAACTTAACCCTTACCCAAATACTGTTTGTTTTAACATTCCAAGTGTTTTTAAATCTAGATCAGGACTTGGAGTTATTCGCCTTAATGTCAGGAGTTTGCTACCCAAACGAGATCAAGTAAAAATTTGGGCCAGTTCCTCTGACACTGACATACTGGTTGTGTCAGAAACTTGGCCAAAAGAATCCATTACAGACAGAAAGATTGCCATCAAAGGTTACAATGTTTTTCAGGGTGACGTCCTAAAAAGGGTCGTGGCATTGTGATATATGTCAAGCAGACATTTCATGTTACTGTTCAGTCGTGTCTTTCCTTAAGTAGACGGTTTGAATTTCTTGCCTTGAAGTTGGAACTTTTTCAGGGCCACTTTATCACAGTTGCGGGGTGCTATAGGCCACCATCAGTTAATAGTGAGACCTTGTCAGCCTTAAATTATCAGCGCTCAAATTTAGCTTTTAGTGAGATCATTTTTACAGGAGACTTGAACTGGGACTGGTTATCTTCCGTCTCTACTGGTTTTAAATTTGTTTGTGATGGTCTTAATTTAACACAAATGGTTATAGAGAAAACACGCCCAAACCTTAAATTTCCAGAAAAATCCTCTTCTTGATTTGTTTTTAACTAATTTGCCACATAAATATTCAAATGTTGGAGTATTTACAAACGATATAAGTGACCATTGTGCTATAGCCATCTTCAGAAACGCTAAACTCATGAAATCAAGCCCTCGTTCGATTCTGAAAAGGGTTATAAAACATTTTTGTGAGCAAGCTTTCCATCAAGATTTATGGCTGTTTGATGATGTAGAATTGGCCTGGAAATCTTTTTATGATGCTTTTAACTTTTTTATTAATAAGCATGCCCCTCTCTGCAAAATTTGAGTAAAGGGTAGAAATAATCCCTGGTTCACGGCTGAGCTGTCTAATTTGTTAAAAGATCGAGATAATGCTTGGGCCAAGGCCAGGCATTCTAAAACTCATAATGACAAGCTGTTACTCAAGCAACTGAGAAATCGCTTTACTTCCCTTGTTAAAAAGGCAAAATCCCAGTTTTATGTTGATAAAACCACTCAAAATTTAAATGATCCCAAGAAAGTTTGGAAAGTGATTAAATCCTCATTCGGAGATGAAACATCTAGCGAATTACCTACTTGTTTTATTAAGGATTCACAAAACGTAACTGACAAAGGATCTATTCTTAACTGTTTCAATGAACATTTCATTTCCTCAGGATCCTGGTTTGAATCACTGCTTCCACAAAGGCTAAATGTACAAGAAGATTTCTCTCAAGCACACTTGAGTGATTCAGTTCAAGGATTTAGTTTTGTCCCTTTTGATGTAACTGAAGTTCATAGATCCTTGTAAATCTGCTGGACCTGACAAACTCGAGCCCTTTTTTTTGAGGGCAGACTTTATAGCAGAACCTCTATGTTACATCTTTAACTTAACTCTTGCTGAAAATAAGATTCCCTGGATATGGAAATCTGCCTATGTCCTTCCCTTGTTGAAAGGTGGCAATCCATCTATAGTCAACAACTACAGACTGATCTCTAAATTGTGTGTACTTTCCAAAGTTCTGGAAAAATTGGTCACAGAACAGCTGAAAACATTTTTAGATTCAACAGGTCTACTCTCACTACACCAGTCAGGTTGTTGAAAAAAGCACAGTACAACACCTGCTGCTGTGTTAATGACTTTATTGATGCCCTAGATGGCTGAAAATACTGTGCAACACTAACGGTCGACCGATCTAAAGCGTTTGACACTGTAGATCATGTCATCCTGATGAATCCACTCTACAGGTCCTTCTCAAAAAATGAGCATATTGTGATAAAGGTCATTATTTTCCATAATGTAATGATAAAAATGAAACTTTCATATATTTCAGATTCATTGCACACCAACTGAAATATTTCAGGTCTTTAATTGTTTTAATCCTGATGATTATGGCATACAGCTCATGAAAACCCAAAATGCCTGTCCCAAAAAATTAGCATATCATGAAAAGGTTCTCTAAACAAGCTATTAACCTAACCATCTGAATCAATGATGTAACTCTAAACACCTGCAAAAGATTCCTGAGGCTTTTAACACTAGAAGTCCCAGAGAAGGGTCATTTAACATTTCTACCTTTGGAACCCAGAGACGGGTCGAGTGACCTGAAGGATTTTAGCTAACATCCTATAATGAGCTGTTAACA